TCTCTCTCACTCTCCTCTCTCTCTCTCTCTCTCTCTCTCTCTCTCTCTCTCTCTCTCTCTCTCTCTATTTTGCCGTTTGTTTAATTGTTTGCCAAATGTTGCCAAACATGATTCCCATGTTTGTGATGTAACTATGTATTTCTTCGATGCCTCGAGAGGATCCATTCAAGAAATAAATAAATTCAATTAAATGCATAAAATGTCATTGGATGGTGGCGCCGCCAGCACAATTAGCGGTAAATTGTGGAACTAGCGGCGCTAGCGTCCAATGGCACTGCTTATATGCACCGCAGTATGTACGTATAGTATCTATGGTGTCAGGTGACACCGGGTGCTATAGTTATTTGTTAAAACTTGCCGTTTATTTAATTGTTTGTCAAATGTTGTCAAACATTATTCCTATGCTTATTATGTAACTATGTATTTCTTCCATGCCCCGAGAGGGTCCGTTCAAGCAATAAAATAAATTCAATTTAATGCATAATATATGCCATTTATAAAGTTTATTATTATTTATTATATTATTTTTATCATGTATTATATATCTTGTTATATTATTATCATTATCATAGCGACACAGCACACTCGCAGCGGCGAGTGCAGGAGCGTTCGGCGTTAGTTTTTATGAAGGAAAGTTGATATACAAACAGCGACACAACAGTGAAACTGTAATTGAGAGGTAGTGCTTACGGTAATATTTGTGAATGTGCGTTCATATTATTTTCAGTTTTTACTGACTTTGTCCCAAGTGCCTGTGCTCTCCCCCTTCTCTCTCGGTACCTCCCCGAACTTTCTCGATATGACTAGACGGCAGATAGATAGACCATGTGTGTGTGCGTGCATGTATGTATACGATGTTTACGTATGACGTTCGAACCACGACAGACTAGACGCGCACACGAAACCACAAACGCCGAGCGTAAACTGACCACGGTCATTTATTTCTATCAATTAAAATATTAATACAAGCTACAGATTGTTGATGGAGAAACCATCGTTGCCGCCGTTCAAATGAGGATGGAACAACTAATATTAAAAAATGCATTCTGGTTAATATCACAATGTTAGCCGAACAGGCAGGGCCGATTCTACGCAAACAACACACAAGGTCGTGGAATAATTATACAATCATTCACACACATAAACCCTCTCTGGTGTGCGTGCACAAAAGCTGCAAATTCAACGTACAAAATACAATTAATGTTTAACGTCAAAAAGCAGAAATCGCTGACATTGCCATTTAGTCATCATACATATTCATTTAGTCCCCACTATAACATAGAATCACTGGCTGTAGAAACAAGAACAAGGCTGTTCCCTCACACATTCACACGTACGCACGCACACAAACACATGCACACGCACGCACGCACACACGCGCACGCAAACACACCAGCACGCACACGCACACGCGCACAGACAGACACACAGACACACATGCGCGCGCGCAAAAATATATTATACCAAGAGCGAAGACTGTGTTTTGTTGGGCATATCGAAGCATAACTTATGCCCCAAAAACCCGGTTATGGTGTTCTTGACGACAGCAAATAGACAGCGTAACTCCTCTACTATCTTCATCTATTTTTATTACAGTGCGCAGTAGATGTATATTTGTATAACATGCGCACGTAGCGGCGCGTATTGGGTGGTGCCGGTATCTACAGGCACCTGCTATGGAAAAGACGTTTGGCTGTTGGTTTGACACACTACCCGCGGAAGACGTCACCAGTGGGTGAGAGAACACAACATAGAACCAACCTTTCATCTCGGCGCACTATACGACTATAATCATTAATGGCAACCGCGTCTCTTGCGTACAACCACGGCATGCGCGTTGTCCGGAGACCCCACTCACTATATTCATGCGACAAGTAGGGGTAGTACAACATGTAAAGATAGGAAATATCCGAGGGTTGGTCAGAGACAGGCATAGGCCGTTATAGCGAGTACAGGGACACATATAGTTGACTGCAACCAACACGTAATGTTACATCTCCTACACACACGCACGCACGCACGCTCGCACGCTCGCACGCACGCACGCACACACACACACACACACGCACCAAATAGAAAGGAATGGTTTAATCGTCACATCAAAAGGAACACCTACTCACACTTCGATGTCATTATTAATCATGATGATGATGATGGCAATGATGACGAGGATGACACTGCTGCTGATGATGATGATGACAATGCTGATGATGATGAGGATGAGGAGGAAGAGGAGCAGGAGGGAGGAGGACAATGAAGGTGATCGTGATGATGATGCTGATGACGATGTGGGTAACAGTACTAGCAATGACAATTTTATTACGGAAAGTGATAACAATGTTAACGATAACAGTGATAACGATGACGTTGTTGTTGTTGTTGTTGTTGTTGTTGTTGTTGTTGTTGTTGTTGTTGTTGTTGTTATTGATGATGATATTAACGGTTATAACCAAAACACACAAGCTACCTTTATCACCGTCATCATCATCATCACCGTCATCATCATCATCATCATCATATCACAACTAAGAATATTGTGAAGCACGTGAGTAAAGGTACTCATTGCCATGAAGGCTCTCCGAATAGCCATGAACTACAGACTGACATGTTACTGCCGGTGCGAAACAGCCATAATCAGCAGTGAGAAGAGAGAATGAGAGAACGAAGAAAACGCAAGCGAAAGAGACACACAGTGAGAGGGAGAGAGACACAGAGAGAAAAAGAGAGAGAGAGAGAGAGAGAGACAAAAAAAAGAAAGAGAGAGACAGACAGACAGACAGAGAGATAGAGAGAGAGAGAGAAGAAAGAAAAAGAGAGAGAGAGAGAGAGAGAGAGAGAGAGAGAGAGAGAGAGAGAGAGAGAG